TCTCTCTTGCCGGAACATACGAGGTGAAGATTTTGCAGACCAGGGGGGGCGGGGTGCAGCAGCCCCTCTGAAAGGGGGTATAAGAGGGCGAAGTCCCCTATATTTACCGAAAACGTGTCAGATACCTGGTTTGCCCAGGCTTTATCCTGCCTGAACATAGGTGAAGATTTTGTAGTCCAGGCTGGGGTTAGGGGGGTGGGGGCGGCAGCCCCTCCTAACACCCGTCGGAAATGTGTTAATATACTATGCATACTAGTATTCTACCGATATTTCTCGAAATTCCCAGATATGTAGGCCTAAATGCCCTCCCCAGCTATCGAGACCGCTATCGTAGTTGTGCCTCTTTTTGCGAAAGAAATGAGTGCTAGATTCGTTCGAAACACGACGAAAGCTACTGGAAAAATGATTCTTTTCACCCCAAAAATGGTGTGGGGTTGCATTTCCAAATTTACCTTTTTCTATTACTATTATAAGATTTCCGTCGGTTTTAGCATCATTCATTTGCGCTCATCAATTTATTTCATGTTCATAAGTAAATTTAAATGTATGCAAATGTATTTATTCTTAGGGAAAATAATCTAATGTGCTATTACGACATAGGCAAATGCATAATTTCTGGGAAATAGAAAAGAAAAAACATGACAATCAATAAAAGTCTGATATGACCTTTGCTGAAGCGCTAAGGCCGTGATATCGCTTTTTGGAGAACTTTGTGCTTCAGAAATGCTCTTAAATTAATGAAAGTGTTTTCTTTGATGAAAATACATAATGAATTTGAGCAACACGCACAAAGGATTACTTATTGTTCAAAGCTTGCATGATTATTTAATATTGTCATCAGTAGAGTAAAGAAATATCAAAACGATAATAGATTTAATTTCCCAAGTAACTTATGATACAGCAAAAGAAAGAAAGAAAGAAAGGAAAGAAAAAATATATATCTATATCTATCTATATCTATATCTATATCTATCTATATATATATATAATATATATATATATATATATATATATATATATATATATATATATTATCATATATATATATAGTGTGATATGAATATGGTTAAAAATACATAAATAATGCTTGAGACTGTTCAAAATATTCTCAACTGTCGAAACGTTCCAGATATGATTCCAATGACTATAAAAATTTTTTTTGATCTTTGGATAGAGAATGATATAGAAACATATATGACGCATTTCTGTTGTAAAATTTCAGCATGACTCGTCTTCTCTGGTGTTAATAAAACAAAATAAAACACAAAAGACACGAATTTCAGGTTATATGGGCGGAGTTTAAACGATAACGGAAAACAGCAAACTCGGCAACAAAATTCTGAAAAACTCTCGCAGATGGGAAAAAATGGGTTGGTATTTTTTTGACGGCTAAACGGGTCGCAAGAAATCCATTACAAGGATGCTATAGATAAAACCATATGGCTTTCTTTGGTAAATTAAATAACCTATGAATGCGCTGGAAAAAAATCAGTGATGTTCATTTTTTTTTTTGGCGCCACATTCGCCGAAAATGAAAACCGAGACAATTTTTCGGAAACCAGCAACGACGCTTAAAATATCTATATACAGATAAGTACAAGGAGGATAACTTACGTAAACTGTTCAGCACTGGTGGTTTTCGTCCATTTGAGAGCTCTTTTTGTTATCATTATTATTTCTATTATCATTGTTATTATCAGTCTAATCGTGATCATCATACTGTTATCAATGTTTTTGTTGTATCTATTCAAATTGTTATTATTATCATTACTATCGTTATGATAATAGCAGCTATTATCATAACATCATCATCATAATCATCATCATCATTATATCATTATATTATCATTATCATCTCATTCTGTCCCGTTTTTGACGTACATCAACCGCACAATCTACACGCTTTGTGTCTTTCCATTAAAAAGAAAGAAAGAAAGAAAAAATAGAGACGTAGCACATTTCATCGTATTTTAATTATGTATTTGTGCAGTTTTCTGATGCTACTGATATTTCCATAAAACCGAAAGACTGGAATTTAAAAAACCGCTGAACGTGAATAAAAGTCTCTCATTTTCCCGCCAAAAAAGGTTATAAAAAACGCTAAATGTTGAGTATTTTTTCCGCTAGATCATAACTCGGAAAGTATAGATCGAGCGTGAAATCTGATGCTCTTGGCTAAATTATCATGTTTGAAAGGGATTTAAAAAACGCTAAACGAAGAGTAAACTTTCATTTTTTCCGCTAGATCATAACTCAGAAAGTCTCGATCTAGCAGGAAATTAGCTAGAATGGCAATACTATTCTGATGTTCTCGGGGAGATTTTTTTATTGTCTCTGTGTTTATCTGTAAGCACTACACACACACACACACACACACACACACACACACACACACACACACACACACACATATATATATATATATATATATATATATATATATATATATATATGTATATATATATATATATATATATATATATATTATAATATATATATGTATATATATGTAATATATATATATATATATAATATATATTATTATATATATATATATATATATATATATATATATATATTCATATGATATACAACACACACACACACACACACACACACACACACAACACACACACACACACACATATATATATATATATATATATATATATATATATATATATATATATATATATATATATATATATATATATATATATATATTCATATGATACATATCAATCTCTATCTATCTATCTGTTTATCCAGGCCTCAGCCCTCAGTTGTCCATTCCGAGTCCCACTGCTCGACCAGTTTTTTTCTTTTCTTTTTTTCTTTTCTCTCTCGTCCTTTCCTCTCTCCCTGTCCACTATAATTACCTCATTTGCATAAGTGACATGCGTGACGAGTACATCATTCATGGTAAATTTTTCTTTTTTTCTTCACGTGTTCCCTTGCGGACTCGACAGCCAATCAGAATCCAGATTTTGGTGGGAAAACAGATTTGCAAAATAATATTGATAATGATGATAATTGTAACAGTAATGATAATACTATCAATAGTGCCAGTAATGATAATGATGATAATGACGATGATAATGCCGATAATAATGATAATAATAATAATAATAATAATATAATAATAATAATAATAATAATAATAATAATGACAATATTAGAAAATAGAATAAAAATATGGAAAACGAGTTGTTTATGAACAGACGTTATGACGTTAGTGAGGGATATATATATATATATATATATATATATATATATATATATATATATATATATATATATATATATATATATATATATATATATATATAATATTAATATATATATATTTTTTTTTTTTTTTTTTTTTTTTTTTTTTTTTTTTTTTTTTTTTTTTTGAAAGCATTTTTTTTCTCGCTGGTAAATATAATAAGACAGTATGTTGATATCAGGAATTCCAGAAAAAAAGGTTGGATGAGAGTTATAAGAAACAAAAAAAGAAGAGAGAGAGAGAGAGAGAGAGAGAGAGAGTTATAAGTAAAAAGTAAAGTAGAGGAAGATGGAATTATGTAGTTATTAAACGAACTATGGCAAGGACACACTAGATCGTGTGAATATGATTTTCTTTGTTTTTCTAAACTATTTCGTGATTTTCTTTTTTCTTCGTTACCTTGTTTATGTTTTTGTTGTAGGTGTTCAGTTTGCTTTTTTTTTTTTAATAAATATTCAATTGTGTGGCATATTCCTTTACATGTTTTGTTCGTCGTTCTTTTTGCAGTAACAGTACTATTTATAAGTATGGATATATTGATATCTGCAAAGAATTATTGGGAATGACATTTCAGATCTGAAATTTAATCAGTATACCTGAAATAACATTCTACCATATTAAAAGGATGGCCGACCTGAAGATAAGATCATAGAGAATTTCGCAATGGCTGTCTCATCTTAGAAAAAAATATGCCTTTTTCCCCCACCAATAATGTTAAGATAAATAAACTCACTATTGTCTGTCTTTCATTATTTATTTCCATACTCTTCAACAAATACAACAGATACATTTTTTTTATCCCCTATGGTGAGTTACAAAACAGGAAACTAGCTGACAAACTATTGCACTTCACATCCATACGAGGAGCACCAACGTATTGAAAATAACTGGACCCTAAAACGTGAGTTAACAGGTAAGCTTCGTCTCTCTGAAAACGTGTAAATGATATCTAAAAATAAATAGATCTTCTCCGCCGGCCATATTAGCCAGCGCTACGTCTACGAAATGGGTTTTCTGACATCTGAATAGCACTTTATTTCTTATCTCATTACAGGTGTGTAGCTTTGACAAGAGACGCTGGCGGGGGGGGGGGGACCTCTGGCCTCGGGAGAACGGGGTGAACAGCCGTCGCGTCTCCTGGTGGCGATGACGGGGAGGCCAGGGTCCTGACGGCGAGGGTGGTAGGCAGCCCTTCAGCCCGGCAGATTGTATTGCTACAGAGTCCAGGGGGTCTTGGTGAGGGGGGGGGGGGGGGGGCGAGAGGAAGGGAGGGAAGGGGAGAGGGATAAGAGGGGAGGAGGGAGCAGTCGAGAGGGATAGGGAGGGGAGGGGGGGGACCTGGGACACGCCTCCAGAACCACACAAAAAAAAAAAAAAAGTTGAACAAAAACCGCTTCACGATCCCAATGAAATTTCGCGCTGGGAGGTACAGGTAAGATTTTCGACAGGGGAGGGAGTGGGGGAGGGAGGGAGGGAGGTTGAGGGTGTGTTCAAGGCGGAAAATGCGTTAGCTTACGAATAATAATCGGAATGACTTTAGAATACGTCGAGTCGAAAGATTTCTCTCAAGGGCCGCGCTTGCAAGCACTCCGAGGATCAGGCAGTGAGTTAGCTCCGACGCCCGAGTGAAGGACGACCTCCCAAGGGCGCGCAGGACCTCGGGATCGCCATGCACTCGCGAAGGGCTCGGCTGCGGTGCCGTTGGCTCAGTACAATCTGCAGGGGTGAAGGGCTAATCGTCAGAGTTCTTGATGAAGCCGTAGCTGCAGTTGGTGTGGCCCTCCAGGTGCGCCGCCGGGACCTCCTCCTCGAAGGGTGGGATCCGCTGGTGGCTCATCGATATCCGAACCTGGAGGGAAGATTATGCGGATTATTGTACATACAATACATTAGTTTTATTCTTTGTTGTTTTGTTTTGAAACAGCGTGGTTAGCATCCTATGCACTTTGTTTACTCGTTTGCCTTCTATATGATTAGGGAAATAAAAGTTTTTTTTTCACCAACTAAATGATGTGTTAATAATATAAGCATAATGCCACAGTTCTTCAGGTATGGAGAACTAATGTTTGATTAACAGCCCTTTACATAAATATAAGCACAGCCATTTTGGATAGATGCTGTTGAATCTTGCCATGGCTTTTTACAAGGCACGTATACTGTTCTGTAAATAAATCTTATCAAATCGAATCAAATCTTAACATCACTGCCATCGATATACAATACGCGCTGGTTATCAAATATATATACTGGTTTTATTATCGACTGTAACGCTATTTAAATATCATATACCTTTAGCTATCATTCTCTGTCCTATCACTACCTCAGCACCATCGACATGCAACATTTTTCGTCCTGTAGCTCAGAAATGGACAAATAAATGCACTCAAACCTCTCCTTTAACAGCAAAGAAAACAAACGCGTTGCACTGAATAGTAGTTAATCTTCCCTTAGATGTGCCCAGACTGAGGAAGCAACGCAAGAACAAAGCTTGCAAGACCTGTCATAAATTTCGTGCAATGTATCGAAAGCACAGACTCACCATAGCTCATCCTGTCACGGGAATGGCATTAAAGTTGTCTCG